AGAATAACTAATGAAACTGAATTGCAAGATAAATTTGCTGATTTTATAGGGAAAAATTGCAACAATAAAGTAGTAGTGGTTTCTGCTCGTGGTGAAAATCAAAACGCATTTGAAAAGAGAATACACAGTTATAAATAAGGTTATACAAAAGCTACTCCTGATTTAATTTGGATATATCAACAAAGTTGAAATGGTAAATTGGCCACCGTAACGATTACAAAAAGCTAACGTTTCGAGCGTTAGCCCTTCGTCATTCACTCCGACGAAGGGCTAACACGGAGTGAATGACGAAGGGCTAACACTCGAAACGTCAGCTTTTGTAATCGTTACAGTGGCCAATTTACCATTTCAACTTTGTTGATATATCCAAATTAAAAGAACAAAACCTTCCTCATCTTTTACTCTTAAGTATACCAAGACGTGTTTTTAAAAAAAAGGAAAACAAAAGAATTATTTAACAACATCTAAAGAAGTAAAAGGGGCAATTAAAGTATGGCCAAGGCTTAATAGTAATTGTACATTAAGCATAGCTGTCTCATCAATTTTTTAAGCAGGATTGTTCTGTAGTCTTCTAGCTCCTTAATCACAAATGTGTTTGATAGTAGTAGTGTTTTCCTGTTAATGATGTACACATACTTTTAATACCTTTCTTATCTTTTAGGATGGAACTCAGCCTCTTGCACCTGTGCTGTGTGTTCACTTGTTATCTGAAGGAGAACCAGAAGCATTGATTGCTTATGGATCAAGACTCAAACCACAGTTTGAAACTCTGGTGGGTACTTTGTGTATTCTGATACCTTGGCATGAATAGTTGTCAAAACACGAGTCCTTTTCACCAATCAGATTGTTTTCAGAATCCCCTTCACCAAGGCAATCTCACTGTTTGATCTGTCGCTCCCACACCCAAGCCTTTGTCAGTATTTAGGGTTTAATGTTTAATTATTGTAATCCCTCCTCCCTCATCAGTACTTTTTTTAAGATGCCCACCCCCCAGTCCTCCTTCCTGATTGTGTATTGGTCTTCCAGATTATTTTCTTTTATTGAGTTAGGTTGAAAATATCATTTCTCCTTTATTTGCTGTTTTTTTTTTCTCCCACAGGCTTATTCCACAATGGAGGAACACACTTGTCTTGTAAGAGAGAGCTCTTCAAATCTTCTTCTCAATGATAGTGCCCATGAACCTTATCAAATTGACAAAGGGAAAGCATCATCTTCACAAATAACAACCCTGGGTCCAGGAAACATGACACGGGCAACTCCTGCCATGGTGTTGGATGATGGGAGGACCAAATTGAAGCGAAAAGCAGAACATGAAAAGAAGGAATCTCTTGAAGAACAGGTAAGTGTTTACCTGGGAATCTTTCGCCAAAACATTGATTGGAAGCTCCTTCAAGTTGCCAGGTTGCTTTAGCAGTGTGTAACATGTGTGGATTAACCCTACAACTCCCAGAGGTGATCAACATGTAAGTTCTCCCTATAATATCCATACATTATCCAGCAAACAGGTGATGAGAATACTCAAACTTATCAGGTAGAAGTTGTTGTCTTGATCTTACACCAAATTCTCGTAACTAATCTATAAAGAATTGTGTAGCAGCAAGAGGGGAGAATTAACAAGTAGATCTTGGGAGGGAAAGGGTTAATTAACCATTATCAATCTTTTTTCAGAGTATTGAGGACAGACTGAAGGCAATCAATGCTGAAGCTGCTGAAACATCGAGGTATTCTCCACAATGGCTTTGATTGGTTCATTAAAGAACCGTCTGAGATAACATTAGTTTTGGACTAACCCTATTCATCATGTTGCAGTTTGGTTTGGCACCCCTATTCTATGAACACCTATTTTACGTTTGATCCACCATCCTCGCAGTGGATAGCCCTATTTAAGCAATAGAGAAACTCGTGCATCATACGTAAGGATCGTGCATCATACGTATCTAATACGGCAGTTCAAAATATATGAACTTCATATATTTCATTGTATCTAACACCTATTTTCTCAAGGTTACATTCCACAGATTCAAGGCCAGTGTTTGACAGTGTTCTGAAAAATCATGCTGTATTCTTTTTTTCAAGGAGAAGAGGAAACGACCGCCCAACAGCTGATTCATTAGCCCAGATGCTCATACAAGCTCTTCATAGTCAAGATAACTCTCTAATGGAGGTTTGATACTGCAAAATATTGCATCTGTTGACAATAACCCATATAGTGAATAAGCGCATTGTTATACACTATGCCACACGAATCCCCAATTGAAGAGATAGATAGAAACTTTGTTAATGTGTCAAAGAACCTTCTAGTTTGGGAGATCTCCTGCACTAATGTGGGGACACAAATAAAATGATAAAAACTATTTACAAAGAATATTACCTACTTAAGAGTAAAATTAAGTCATATCATGTATGAAAAAAATATGAAATGAATTAAGAAGTACATAGAGCACAGCCCCTGCAGCTATCATCTAATAGGGAGCTGAGGTCACGCTTACGTATGC